AATTCCTACAACAGGTCACATCAGTTCAGGTTCAAACAGCAATCAGTTCAAGTTAACAAGTGCAACAACTAAATCCTAAACTAAATCCTATTCTACAAGTCCCTTCCATGTGTCTGGGTCTTGTGCTGCTGGTATTAACCACACCAACAACTTGCTTCTATCATGCATAAACCCCAAATAGGCTCGCCTAGCCCACCTCAACTACGTAAGCATCTTGGCACATGCATTATATAGTTGATTGTTACCCTTAAGCTCCTCAACGGTAGTCAGGTATGCTAAAACCTTGTCATCTACTTGGGGATCTTCAACCGGTGCTGCTGGTCACTAGTCAGAAGTAGCTGCTATAACACTAAGGCTATCAGAAATTTTAGTAGACGCAGTAACTTTTTTCTTCTTCTTTGCATCAGACGTCTCACCCCTCTTCCTCTTTTCATAGCTTCCTGAGCCACTTGGTCCAGTACTCGCGGGGTGTTTAAGTTGCAACCGGCGAAGTCATCTGTGAACCCTACACTGGCTGTTGGGTCAACTCCGAAATTTTCATCCTTACTGTCCCTTGACCCTTCTTATTGGTCCAGGTTGACTCTATAAACATCCTCCTCCTCTTCTGTATTGGCTTGTGTCACAGGTGTCGACTGGGGCTGTGAGGCTGATGATGTGTATATATAGTCTCCTGAACCCACAATATCTTTGAATATTTTCTACAGATCTGATGCAAACATCAACCCCTGCTGTCTAAATTTCTTGAAATTAGGGTCAACCTACATTACATTAACATAATTAGGCAAAATTAAATGAAGTCTTAATGGATATTCAAAATTAAAACTCAACCAGCGCAAATAATTACCAGTAATTTTTGTTGCCACCACTCATCGGAGGCCAAAATCCTATTTGTAGCTACATCATAACCAATCCCAGTCTCTCCAGACATAAGTTTATCCCACAACTTCCAATCTTTTCTCAATATATCAAATTTATTTTTCAATTGCCTCCTGTCATACTTTCTCCCGCTCCTTTCTTAAAAGTTCTTTTCAATTTTCCCCCAATCGGGCCTTGTAAATGATGTTCCTTGTCGTTTCTTGTGCACAATTTGCTCGGCGCAAACATCGATTAGAATCTTTGTCGTGTAAGGATCCCATGTCGCTTTTCCCTGATCATTGTCTATTTCTCTATGCCTTTTGATAGAAAGAAAACTAACTGAATCAACCAAAACCCTAAATATATAATAATAAAAGCCATATTATGCAATCACCAAACAAACATATATATTATTTTCTTAATATTATTGTAAATGCTTTTGTTATTAAAACTCCAATTATTATTATGAAGTCATAAAATATTAATTAACACATTGTACTTGCAAAAGCTATTTTGTTTTCTTATTCAAAAATTTTTTAAACTATAAACATTTAATTAGTGGTAATTGGTTGTGAAAATTTTTTCAAAACTCAATTAATCAATTATTTTTCTTATTGTTTGAAAAACAATTGTGCATCTTTGAATTAGAACTGCCATATTTTAACATAAACTTAATTAATAATAACTTAATTAATAGAAACTTAATTAGGGAAGACAATTTTGTAGTTAATTGTGTTGTTAAAAACTTAATTAAAAGGACTAAAAAATTGTTTTAAAATTACTTTCTTCAATCTACTTCACATAAAAGCCAGAAGTCATAAAAATTAATATATTAGGAACAAGAAGTCTTTTTAATTTTGACATTGAATAGAATTTTCCCTGCTTAATGGATAAGCATTTGCTACCAATGGGAAAGTCTTTTTCATATGAAATTGGAAATTGAAGTTATTGGATTTACACCAACGGAAACTAGAAATTTTTTGTACATTTTTCTTTCAAAATTCCAACACTATTGCAACCGAATGACCAATGTAACACAATCTGATATACACATATACACAAGCTCATATGCATGTATACACAATCACATATCCGGTGTACACAATCGCATATCCAGACTAATCATCACAAGCTCTACGCAGATCCATTGCTCTAACAAACAACTGTTAATTCACCTCAACAACTCAGATAAGATGATCAAAACCACGAAGGGAAGGAGAAAAAGATCAGACCACTAGCGAGCAGAGGCTGGCGACCACGAAAAACCAGAAGAGGGAAAAAAAGAACCACCGGCTAGCAGAAACAGAGGACCACAAAAACCACGAAGGCGATGAGAAAAATATCACACCACCGGCGAGCAGAGGCAGGCAACCATGAAAAACTAGAAGGGAAAAAAATAAAAACAACCACCAGCCAGAAACAGAGGACCACAAAAAACCAGAAGGAAAAAAATTATAAAACAACAAGCGGTGACGGAGAACTCCTAATTAAACCAATTTTCAAGCTTTAATGTTAAGGCTTCCACCAGTAACAGCAAATTCAATCACAGATCAAACTAGAAAAGAAAGGAAAAAAATTACCGCCCAACCTGTAACAGATCAACCCAATCAAAGGCTGCCAGAGGTAGATCCCATGATGTATCAGACTGGCAAGGCAAGATCTCCACACACAGCTCGAAAGCACAGGTAGACGGCGACGATCTCGGTTACAAATGGCAGGACCAGCTCAGACTTACGAGGACGAAGCAGCCTCCAGCGGGCCACGCACACCTCACACCCACCACGCTGAGCTCACGACGATGACAAATCATAGCTCATGGCGACCAGGGAGGGACCTTCTGCGGGGCGATAGCAACAGAGATGGGGTAGGACTTCTAGGTGAAAAACAAAGGAAGTGATGCTCGTGAGAGGGAAAAGCTGGATGGGAGAGAAAAAAAAGAATCCAATGCCTGACACGCACAACGGCTAATTTATTATAAGCTCTTCTCAAATAATTGATAAGCTCCTGCTCCAAGCTTATTTCAGCCCAGCGTTCAGACACTTAAAAAATAAATAAGCCTAATAAGTTTTAAGCTCTCCCAAATGGACATTAGTGCTCAACCCAGCTTATTTTAAAATTTAAGCTGCTTTTGGGTCAACAAACGCGGATGCAAACAGACCCAAGAAGGAGTTCCTACAAGAAGAGAGCTCAGTATGTAAGTGACTTAGGTCACTCTTTTATAACTGCATTCATCTATTAATAGCTAGTACTTAATTTGTACAACTTTTCTTTAGCTTGGAGTGCCATTTGAGGCAGTACCTCAATAGGGAATTGCTCAACACTGTATATATGGAACATTATTATGCTAATTTGGAGACACATTTTCCCATTCCATAAGTGAGGAAAATGAGAAAGAGATACCTTCAAATTTCAAATGGTCAAGAAAGTAGAACTGAACTTATTGGCGGTAATGGTGCCATAGTTCCACATCAAATTGAACTTTCATTCAAGCCGCCAGGCTTAAAGATAATGGGACAACCATACTTGACTAATTCACAACTGTTAGCAAAAAAATAGAGGAGAGAATTGATATGCTTAAATCTAAGTTAAGAAGTGTATCATGGAAACATTTGTTGTGCTTTTTGGTTCATGAATTTTATGATCCGTGTGGAAATGTCCTTATACTACCTACAGTCCTAATTATAAGACCTCGTAAACTATAAATGAGGTCTTATAATTAGGATCAGAAGTAATATTAACATAATAGATTAGTATTTTATCTAGTTTTCGAATTGATGAGCATATTGGTACTAGTCTCTTTTATTTTTATTTTAACCTTGTATTTGCCGAGCCTGATACCTCTTCTATGTCGAAGTTCTATATGTACAACCAGAAAGCATGCACAAAATTGGGCGATTTTCAACAAAAGTGGGCATTGCGGTAAGCAAATATTCCCACAACTAAAAAAGCATGATGCTAAAGTTTGAGAAAAAAATTGGTTGTTATGTAGCTTTTGAACAAGTACTACCACAACAAGTAAACAAATGTTCCTAATAGTTCAACAGTTTTGAGTATTATAGCAGCACACGCGAAAAATCACAGAAGTCAAGAAAAAGTGGAAATTTGAGAAAAACTGAGTATTATGCACAGGAATTTCTTTTTAATTGCTACATGATTATTGTAAATAACCTATTGTTTGAATGGCCAAATTTTTGTAGTTACTTTATATACTCCTTCGGACTTAAAATGTAAGACCTTTTTTATATTGTAATTTGTTTTTTTAAAAAAAAATCTTAAATTCAGGACTGAAAAGGTAGTATAGTACATCATTTTATCGACGTGCTTTATTAGCTCAATTGTTATTAGGGTTGTAGGGGTGAGCAAAACCGAACCGAAATCGAAAACCTAACCGAACCGAAATTAATTTGGTTTTTTCGGTTCGGTTAAGTCGGTTTTTATTTTTTTTTCGGTTAGTTTTTTCGGTTATTTCGGTGTTCGGTTTTCGGTTCGGTGTTCTTGATAAAATTTCGGTTATAACCGAATAACCGAATAATAAATTATTTTTTATTTTTTTAAATTTTTTTCTCTTTTTCGGTTTTTCCTACGATTTTTATTCCTATGTTTTTTTTTTTATCAAAATGCTTCGGTCCAAATAATACCGCAGCGCAGACCTCACTCCTCCTCAATCTCAACTCTCACGCAGCCTCACTCAGCAAAGTGCAAACCCTTATCGTCTTGCCCTGAACCGCACGCCCACCGACCGCCGCAGCCTCCTGTCATCCACTGATCCACTCATCCTTTCTCACTCAGGCTCAGCTTCTCGCCTCTTGTCTGTGGCTTCAGTGTATTCGGACATTGCCTTGCCCCTGCGATTCTGCAAAGCTTCGTCTTCTCCAGTCTACCATTCGGCGACCGACAGCTTCGTCTTCTCCTTTCTAGTCGACGACAGGCCGACAACTTCATCTTCTCCGGCAGCTTCGTCTTCTCCTCTCCAGTCTCCGACAGCCTCGTCTTCTCCTCTCCAGTCTACCGTTCGGCGACCGACAGCTTCGTCTTCTCCTTTCTAGTCGACGACAGGCCGACAGCTTCATCTTCTCCGGCAGCTTCGTCTTCTCCTCTCCAGTCACCGTTACAGACTTTGTCTTCCTGAAGCATACTTTCAGATAGCATCCGTGGGTGGTGAGTCCGTCGTTAATGCTCTGTTCTTAGTTGGTTTCTAATATAATATATTGCCATCAGCTAGTGCTTCAATGTTGCGTTGTGAATAATAGGCCCTGTGTGAGTATGTTCTGGTATATTCATCAATGAACAAATAGAAAACCTGAATCCATATGTTATGGCTTAAATGCATGTGATTGGAACAATTTAAAGGGATAGGAGTGTGATTTTTCACATTGAGAAGATACGCAGAGTTCAGGCTCTTAGTATCAAATTTCAAGTTATATAATAGAGTGAGAATCGGTGACGGTGACTTGCTCAAGTTGTATAATTTGAAGTTTGAACCGAACTAAGAAGTCATATTAATGGGTGATAAAGATACAACCTCGTTTCTGTGTTACAGGTTTAATTTGGGGATGAATACTGATTAAATGTCCTTTTCTAATTCCATGGCTTTCACATTTCACCTCGTAGAGATTGTGTTTTTAGGAAATTAGAGCTTTCCTGGTTTTTCTGTGAAGTCAGGTGCTTGTGGTTGTACACATTGAACCGGACTAAGTTATATTCTTATGTAACATAGCCTTATCTATTCATTATAAATTGTCTTCATTGGTTTCTCATATAATATCTTGTCATTGGTTTTGTTTATTTAATTAGATGTCTTCTCACGGTGAAACCATGGGTGATGCTCAAGTTGGGGATGATGGTACTACTCAAACAACAAAGCCTTCAATGCCAGTAACAAGTGGAACAAAAAGAAAAAACATGAAGCCAAGATCAAAAGTATGGGAGCATTTCACCAAATTTGTGAATGAAAGAGGTGAAATTAGAGGTAAGTGCAATTATTGTGGAAATGATCTTGCATGTGATCCAAAAGCTAATGGAACAACTGCACTTAATAACCACATGAATTCTTGTAAATTGAAGCCCCCTCCTGAAGAACTTGCACAATCTCTTTTGAACTTTAATGTAGAAGATGACAAAATAGGTCTTGCAAATTGGAAATTTGATCAAGATGCAATTTGCTTTATGTAAAATGTACACAAATGCAATTGGTACAAGTTTGGGGATGCACATTAAGGAACTTCTAATTTCTTTGTATAATGAATACAAACACACTTTTTCCCCCTCAACCCAATTTGAAAGAGAGCCCATGCATAGCACACAAGAGGATTGTCATGAAGATGATGATCCTGCTGTAAAAGTCAGAAAATTACTTGATATTGAGGAACAAGAGTTCATGAATGAGCGTCTTGGTGGAAGAACTAGCAGAACTGAGGTCGATAGATATTTGAATGAGGAAATTGAGATTAATAAAGAAGATTTTGATATTTTAGGTTGGTGGAAGCTAAATGGTCCTAGATTTCCTATTCTTTCTCTATTGGCTAGAGATGTTTTGGCTATCCCAATTTCCACAGTTGCATCAGAGTCTACATTTAGCACTGGAGGACGAGTTCTAGATTCATTTAGGAGTTCTTTAACTCCTAAAGCTGTGCAATCTCTAATTTGTGCTCAAGATTGGCTTAGACACTCAATTCAATATGTTGTAGAAGAAGAGAATGATGATATTCAAAAGATAGAACTTGGTAATAGTTTACTTTTATTTCATAATATTATAAGAATAATATAATACTTGATTTATTTGTAATATATGAAGTCTTATTTTGTTTCTTTGTTTTTGTGTGTAGATTTGCAAAAAATTGCATTGGAGGCAACTGTTGATATATTGTAGCTGCCAAGGTAAAATACTTGAGTAAGCAAATTTTGTGCTGAAGATGTCAAATGATTTGGATCGGATAAGTAAGTAAGTAAATAAAAAACAAGTAGCAACAAAATTAATAAGGATAAAGAGGCTAGCTGTGAACGAATATATGAGAATAATAATAGCAAGAGAGAAGAGGATAGGGACGAGGGAGTCAATGGGTTTACTTCTGTTTTATGCATTTCAACCCCACATTTCATTATTCGCACTTCACGGTCCTGAAATGATTTTTTTTCCTCCTTATTTTGAAATGATTCGCACTTCTGTTTTATGCATTTCAACCCCACATTTCAACGAATAGATCATGTATGCAATGTCTTGAAATGATTTTTTTTCCTCCTTATTTTGAGTATAGTCGCTGGTCTTGACATGATCCCTGATGCATAACAGAAATACAGAATCATGGTAATTCAGCTGTTTTTTTTTTTTAGTTCTAAAGTTTTGCACTCTCTAATTTTCTTGTTTAATTGTAGTTGTTGATGATTTGGCGTTGGTGGCAAGTTACATGCAAGGAATTTGGGCATAAGGATTAGCTGGAATTTGTTGTGATTTTAAATTTTACATGTTATGTTGTTGGTACTTGGTTGTTTTGTTTGGATTTTAATTATATTTGGATTTTTTTTGTTATTGGTTTGTATGTTCTTAAAGATTGACACTTGAAAGAGGTTGATTATTATTTATCCTACTATTATGTATTTATCTTTTAAATTTAATGTGTAACTAGCAGACAAAAAACCAGAAATGGAAGACTTGTAAAATTTGTGAGATGCAAGTGGCAATTCAAAATAAAAACATATTTTAATGGCCATTCGGTGTTATAGGCGAGCAAAAGCTGTGTGGTGTCATCAGTAGGCAAAAACTGAATCAGGAAAGAATTTAAGTTAATGGGATCTACCCCAAAAAACAAAAAAAAAAGGGTCCAATGTCTTTGGGCCATAACAGTGTTACAAGGGCCCAATAACCGAATTATACCATTAACCGAACCGAAATATTTTCGGTTATTTCGGTTCGGTTATCTTATTGCATTCGGTTTCGGTTCGGTGTTGTTTATATGTAATATTCGGTTATTCGGTTATTTCGGTTAGTTGCATTAACCGAACCGAATAACCGAATGCTCACCCCTGGGGTTGAGCAAGTGGTTCCCTATCCGGCACACTGACGCGCAATCTGAAGAGATTGGGCCTGTTTTATCCCGCCCAATAAAAGCACAAAATAGGCCAGCTCAAACAAGTTAAGTAAGTGTATTATATGAGCAGACAGGAAACGAACACACGAGTCGCCCATATTCGTGCAATGTTGAATGGAGGGGTTGCAAGTAGAGCTTGTAATATAGGTTGAACTCGCAAATCTAACTCGCCAACCCACCAAAAATAACAGATTAGTGTTGGCTAAAAATCAACCCGCCAGTAAACAACGCTTTTCAACCCACACTGCTTAACCCACAATCCGCTGCAGGTTAGCCCGCCAACCCGCAGGCCAACCCGCATTTATTTTTTTCTGTATTTTTTAAATTTTATTAATCATTATATGTGTATTATTATATTATATATTCTATCTAAAAAATTAAAAGAAATACCTATATCATTTATTTATTTTGTGTTTTTAATCATGTATTTAAAAAAAGATAAAAATTTTTATTATATTTTTTATATTGTATAAGAAAAAATATTTAAAAATTAAAAAAATTAAAAAAAAAAAGTAGGCTGGTTGGCGGGCCAACCTATGAACCCACCATGACGGGTTAGGTGCCATTACACGGGGTCTTTTTAGCCCACACTGTCTAACCCTAACCTGTCACGGGCTAACCCGCAACTCGTAGGTTGACCCATATTACCACCCCTAGTTGCAGGCACATCTTTAGGCTACTCATCTCACTGGTTGAACCACCTTAATTGTCATGTATCAAAAGGTAGTGAGATCAAATCTCATCTTAACCAACTTTCTAGCCGTCAGTGGGGGGTGGCTGGTGTGCTGAGGTAGCATTTTTTTTTTAGTGAGGCACAGCATAGTTAAAGCACAATATGGTCCGTCGAACTGAATTGAGATTAATGAAAGTGAGTACACTGATTTGGATTTTGAAAATATAAATTAAATTTTATCCATTTATGTTTATCAAGAAGCTAGTTAAAATTAGTTTAAAATAATCAACATGTAAGGCATGCTTCTTCTTTTTTTTTTTTAATAAAAAAAGCCCTTATTAATAAAAAGAATAAGTAAAAGATCTAATAAATGAATTAAAAAAGAAAGAAAATATATGGGGATTAAATTGAAAAAGCTAATTAAATATTTAGACAAAAATGAATGTTATCTTATAAAAAAAATCAAGTCACTTTAACAAAGTTTAGCTTATATTTTGAATTAGAGAGAGTATTTGTTTAGAATTTTCTCATAATATAAATTGCTTTTAATTATTTTTTTAATCCACGTAAAATAGTTGAAAATAATTTAATATTAAGCATGGAATCTTTGGTATAGCGCGAATTTTTCACCCATTTAACATGTAAAATTAAAAATGGTTGTCATTAGAGCTTTTTGGTTTCTTATTCTGAAGCACTCACTAGAAAGAGGACTTTGGGCATTGACGAGATATCATTTTTTTACTTTGTGGGTCATTTTTTTTTTTTTTTGACCGGAACTTTGTGGGTCATTTTGGACTTTGGTGATTGTGACTCCTTGGGGTAGCTCGCCTAACCGGGAAAAGGAAGAAATTAAAACGTGGCTGATAAAAAGTGAGCAAATGTTATACGTCTCTTTCTCTAGGCTTTGAATAATTTTGATGGAAATGAAAAAGGAATAAATATTTTATCTAAATGCTCTCATAATGTAGAATTCTTTTTTATTTTTATCTTTTTTTAATATGAAAAAATCATTGTTCAAAGACTAAACCAGACATAAATTGCTTGGGGAATCCTTATGACATTCTTTTCGCACAACCAACTTTCATGTGAAGCAAAATAAGGGCATTAGTTGTCATTGAGAGAAAAAGCCACAGAAAGCCATAAAGTGAGTTTCTCGAATAATACATGGGAGAGTCACCATTATTATCATTATTAATAGTAGCAGCAGCAGTACTACTATTCCAGGGTGTTTAGATTAACTTTTTAAAAATAATGTTATGGATCCTAAAATAAATATATAAGAGAAGTTTTGTCTTAACTGATTCGAGGGATACCCAAACTCCCCTTAATGTTATATGAGCAAGATGGAGCAGAAAAATTTTTTTTTCACTCTTTATAGCTTAGGTGAATTATGCTGTGGAAGGATTTAAAAATTTTACTAATTCGGATATTTGATATAAAAGCAAGATAATTTATTAATATTAAGAAAATTAATTATTTGTAATAAATGTGTGTTAGTTTCTTTAGTTTACAATGTTTTTTTAGCTTCTTTAGTTTATAATGTTTTTTCTAATCATATGCATTGTATTTGCCTCAATGGGAACTCTTTTATTATATGCAATCAAGAGGAATACTTTAAAAAAATTATAAATTTGAAAAACAAAGTGTATTGAAATTTTATATGTAAGACCAAAATAAAATTTTTTTCTAATTTTTATATTTAGGATAGGAGACAGTAATTATTTAAAAAAAGAAAAATGACAGAAAAAACTTTAAAATTGCAAAATATCGTAATAATGCCCTGAATTTTCATAATCATATTCGTATTTAGGTGTTAGAACCCAAAATAAAAATTTGAAATTCAGCCAAAAAAAAAAAACAGGAATATCAGCCCTAGCAACAAGGGCCAAGTGAACAAATGTTATACGTTTTTTTTTTCCCCCTTTTTAAGGCTGCTTGAATAATTTTTATAAAAATAAAATAAGAATGAGAATGAATATATAAACAATTATGGATGATATGCCATAAAAAAATAATTTATATTTTATTTCATTTTTTTGGTGGGATTAAAGTAGCTTAAGAGTAGAAAATAAAAATGATCAGGTAACACGTATTCTTAATTAAAAAATTAGCAAAATGTTTATTATTTTATAAAACAACACATGCAATTTTGGCTTCCACACATTATAAGATAATATTAAATCAAGATATTAAGATGTTGATTTGTTTTGTAAAAGAATTTTTAAATTATTAATGAAATAAATAATGCTTCATACCATAATATTTCATAATAGTTTTCAATGCTTATTGCGGCATAGTATTTATCATTGAAATGAGACTCTGAACATTCTATTTTAGATTTGCCAAGGCTACTTTAGTTTTCCTGATAACTTTTAATTTTTTGGCAAATTACAAATTTATTTTTTAGAAAACGATAATTAGAAAATCACTTTTATTTTAAAATTTTATATCTATTCAAATAAAAAATTTAATTGTCTAAATTTTGGCCATCTAGTTTTTAATGTAAATAGTCCATCCATATGAGTGATGAGAACCCCATATTTGTGAAACATGGGATACAAATTCCATTTAATGACGTCAGTGATATTCATAATAAAAATAAATCACTGTTGAAAGACTAATACTACCTCCGACTCTCAATATAAGATATCGTCTGACTTTTATTTTGGTTTTAAATATAAGATCCCAGTCTATTTTGTCTCTAATATACTTGATTAGCAAAGATATTTTAGGAAAGATAACACCTGTTTATTACAAATAACTAACTCAACATCTTTTTTTAATCTTTTCAAATTAGTCAACTAACTCTTATAATTAGGATCAGAGTTAGTATATTTTTTTTGGCTGGAATACCATCATTACGTTCTTTTTCCTCACAACAAACTTTCACGTGAAGTAATGGGGCCTTGTGATTGAAAAAATGGAAAAGCCACCAAACAGTAAGTCAATAACAATGATACTCTTTTACTAGATGATATCGGTGCTAAATAACTTCACTGAAAATTCTATTTGGTCTTCCTCGACTTATTTGGAGGATACTCCATATCATATGCTGTATGATATAACCACCCCCCCCCCCAAAGTCATATTTGCCTTCAACGATTTTTTTTACATATCTTAACACCTCAAATTCTTTTATATAATTTTTCTTTGTAAAAATTCTAAAAAAATACCTCTAAAATTTCAAAATTTTAAATCAAGAATGACTATAAAATATATTGTCATTTAATTTTTAAATTTTAAAATTCAAAATTATTTTAAAATTTCTATAATATATCCCTCTCAGTCAGTTGTTATTAAAGTATAGTGAACAAAACTAATTTAAAATTTTAAAATTCAAAAGTATTTTTTTTAAAAAAATTCTCCTTTTTCTTTCCAAAAGTTGTTACGTCAAATCTTCCTTATGTTTATTGGGAGTCTTTTTTTCCCTTTTAGGATCATAATACTTTTAGTTCTCAATATAAAAACTTGTTAGAGAATAAATTTGGTTATAAATATAAGACTATAATTTATTTTGTCTCTCATTCTCCTAAAAATATCCCTATTAATTTTAAGAGATTCCCACCAAAAAAATATTCAAATACACATGATTAAAAAGGATACTTTAAGAATGCCAACTTGCATTTACAAAAAATAACTAAATTAATTTTCTTAATATTTTCAAATTTATTAT